TGCATATGAAGCATATGTGCATATGTGCATATGAAGCATATGTGCATATGTGCATATGTGCAGAGGTGCATATGTGCATATGTGCATATGTGCATATGTGCATATGTGCATATGTGCATATGAAGCATATGTGCATATGAAGCATATGAAGCATATGAAGCACGCGTCTTCGGCTTGCGTCTTGGGTGGCCGCATATGTCACTGGCGCGCCTCTACACACGTCATCATATGCTTGCACGTCGAATGTGGCATATGCTTGCAGGTTGCAGATCGCATATGCTTGCAGGTCGCATATGCTTGCAGATCGTATATGCTTGCAGATCACATATGATTGCACATCGCATGTGGCATATGCTTGCATATGAAGCATTTGTGCATATGAAACACATGTGCATATGTGCATATGTGCATATGAAGCATATGTGCATATGTGCATATGTGCATATGAAGCATATGTGCATATGTGCATATGTGCATATGTGCATATGAAGCATATGTGCATATGAAGCATATGTGCATATGTGCATATGAAGCATATGAAGCATATGAAGCACACGAAGAAAAAAAAAAGAAAAAAAAAGCGCGCAAAAAAAAAAAGATGTGCGCGCGAGGGGAATCGAACCTGCGCGGGTGGACAGATGGACAGACGGACGGACGGACGGACGCCGACTCGGCCTAAGGCCTCCGCTCCAAAAGTCGCTACGGCTATTGAACCTGCGCGGGGTGGACAGATGGACAGACGGACTAGAGCGCGCTGTTCGCGCGAGTGGGCCGTAGCTCCGTAGCATAGCGTAGCATAGCTTAGCATAGCTTAGCATAGCATAGCGTAGCATAGCATAGCGTAGCATAGCACATAGCTATGATCGCATAGGCTTCCATATCGCATATGCTTGCACATCGAATGTGGTATATGCTTGCAGATTGCATATGCTTGCAGATCGCATATGCTTGCAGATCGCATATGTTTGCACATCGAATGTGGCATGTGCTTGCAGATCGCATCTGGCATATGCTTGCAGATCGCATATGCTTGCAGATCGCATATGCTTGCACATCGAATGTGGCATATGCTTGCAGATCGCAGATGCTTGCAGATCGCATATGCTTGTAGATCACATATGATTGCACATCGCATGTGGCATATGCTTGCATATGAAGCATTTGTGCATATGAAACACATGTGCATATGTGCATATGAAGCATATGTGCATATGTGCATATGTGCATATGTGCATATGTGCATATGTGCATATGTGCATATGTGCATCTGAAGCATATGTGCATATGTGCATATGTGCATATGAAGCATATGAAGCATATGAAGCATATGAAGCTGCACATCGCATGTGGCATATGCTTGCATATGAAGCATTTGTGCATATGAAACACATGTGCGCATGTGCATATGAAGCATAGGTGCATATGTGCATATGTGCATATGTGCATATGAAGCGTGTATTAAGCGGGTACGGCATTACTGTAATGTAACAGAAGACTGCATCTGCTTGCAGATTGCATATGCTTGCAGATCGCATAGGCTTGTATATCGCATATGATTGCACCTGGAATGTGGCATATGCTTGCAGATTGCATATGCTTGCAGATCGCATATGCTTGCACATCGAATGTGGCATATGCTTGCAGATCGCATCTGGCATATGCTTGCAGATCGCATATGATTGCACATCGAATGTGGCATATGCTTGCAGATCGCATATGATTGCACATCGCATATGCTTGCAGATCACATATGATTGCACATCGCATGTGGCATATGCTTGCATATGAAGCATTCGTGTATATGAAACACATGTGCATATGTGCATATGAAGCATACGTGCAAATGTGCATATGTGCATATGTGCATCTGAAGCATATGTGCATATGTGCATATGAAGCATATGAAGCATATGAAGCTGCACATCGCATGTGGCATATGCTTGCATATGAAGCATTTGCGCGCATGTGCATATGAAGCATGGGTGCATATGTGCATATGTGCATATGAAGCGTGTATTAAGCGGGTACGGCATTACTGTAATGTAACAGAAAACTGCATCTGCTTGCAGATTGCATATGCTTGCAGATCGCAGTTTGCGATCTGCTATCGCTGCACATCGCACATCGCATAATATGCATATGTGCATATCAAGCATATGAAGTATATGCTTGTGCGTGTGCGTGCACGATGCGTGTGCACGTATCGTGAAGTGCGTGTGTTGAAGTTGGAACGTCGAAGTTTGCGATCTGCTATCGCTGCATATCGCATATCGCATAAGATGCATACGTGCATATGAAGCATACATATGAAGCATATGAAGCATATGAAGCATATGAAGCATATGAAGCATATGAAGCATACGAAGCATACGCTATGCTATGCTACGGCATATGCTTGCAGGTCGCATCTGGCATGTGCTTGCAGATCCCATATGCTTGCAGATCGCATATGCTTGCAGATCGTATATGCTTGCAGATCACATATGATTGCACATCGCATGTGGCATATGCTTGCATATGAAGCATTTGCGCATATGAAACACATGTGCATATGTGCATATGAAGCATATGAAGCATATGTGCATATGTGCATATGTGCATATGTCCATATGAAGCATACGAAGGAAAAAAAAAGAAAAAAAAGCGCGCATAAAAAAGACGCGCGCGCGCTGGGGGTTGAACCGGCGACGTGGTGGACAGAGAGACGGACGGACGGACGGAGGGACGGAGAGACGGACGCCGGATTGGCCTAAGGCCTCCGCTAGACAACTACGTAGTCGCTACGGCTACATAGCGTAGCATAGCGTAGCATAGCATAGCATAGCGTAGCATAGCATAGCATAGCAGTTAGCTATGATCGCATAGGCTTGCATATCGCATATGCTTGCACATCGAATGTGGTATATGCTTGCAGATTGCATATGCTTGCAGATCGCATATGCTTGCAGATCGCATATGTTTGCACATCGAATGTGGCATGTGCTTGCAGATCGCATCTGGCATATGCTTGCAGATCGCATATGCTTGCAGATCGCATATGCTTGCACATCGAATGTGGCATATGCTTGCAGATCGCATATGATTGCAGATCGCATATGCTTGCAGATCACATATGATTGCACATCGCATGTGGCATATGCTTGCATATGAAGCATTTGTGCATATGAAACACACATGTGCATATGTGCATATGTGCATATGTGCATATGTGCATATGTGCATATGTGCATATGAAGCAGATGTGCATATGTGCATATCTGAGCCATGTGAGCTGAATTGCACGCTGAATTGCACGCTAAATTGCGCGTTGCACGGCGCTGTCGCAAGCGCGTACGGCATAGCATAGCGCGTACGGCATAGCGTAGCATAGCATAGCGCGTACGGCATAGCGTAGCATAGCATAGCGCGTACGGCATATCACAGCATAGCATAGATCGTATATGCTTGCAGATTGCATAGGCTTGCATATCTCATATGCTTGCACATCGAATGTGGCATATGCTTGCAGATCGCACCTGGCATATGCTTGCAGATTGCATATGCTTGCAGATCGCATATGCTTGCAGATCGCATATGCTTGCAGATCGCATATGCTTGCACATCGAATGTGGCATATGCTTGCATATCGCATCTGACATATGCTTGCAGATCGCATATGCTTGCAGATCGCATATGCTTGCAGATCGCATATGCTTGCAGATCGCATATGCTTGCAGATCGCATATGCTTGCAGATCGCATATGCTTGCAGATGGTATATGCTTGCAGATCACATATGATTGCAGATCACATATGATTGCAGATCACATGTGGCATATGCTTGCATATGAAGCATTTGTGCATATGAAACACACATGTGCATATGTGCATATGAAGCATATGTGCATATGTGCATATGTGCAGATGTGCAGATGTGCAGATGTGCATATCTGAGCCATGTGGGCTGAATTGCACGCTAAATTGCGCGTTGCACGGCGCTGTCGCAAGCGCGTACGGCATATCATAGCGCGTACGGCATAGCGTAGCATAGCATAGCGCGTACGGCATATCACAGCATAGCATAGATCGTATATGTTTGCAGATCGCATAGGCTTGCATATCTCATATGCTTGCACATCGAATGTGACATATGCTTGCAGATCGCATCTGGCATATGCTTGCAGATTGCATATGCTTGCAGATCGCATATGCTTGCAGATCGCATATGCTTGCACATGGAATGTAGCATATGCTTGCAGATCGCACCTGGCATATGCTTGCAGATCGCATATGCTTGCAGATCGCATATGCTTGCAGATCGTATATGATTGCAGATCACATATGATTGCACATCGCATGTGGCACATGCTTGCATATGAAGCATTTGTGCATATGAAACACATGTGCATATGTGCATATGAAGCATATGTGCATATGTGCATATGTGCATATGTGCATATGAAGCAGATGTGCATATGTGCATATCTGAGCCATGTGGGCTGAATTGCACGCTGAATTGCACGCTAAATTGCGCGTTGCACGGCGCTGTC